TTTTTTTTTTTTTTCCACAAAAAGTCATACAGGTTTGCAACAACATGAGGGTGAGTAAATTATTTGTGTGTACTATCCGTTTAACACAGGTTCCAGCTGTAAAAATCCCTTTTTTTTTATAGGGCAATTTTTTACAGAAATTAAAAAACATTGAAAACAGACCTAGTGTGAGCTACACGGTTTTTAACCAATGGTCTATGCTTTTGTTGAAGCCACCAGCCCTCCTTATTTTTTAAATCGTGTTTAGCAGCAGAATTTCCCGTAAAAAAAATAACTACATTACCCATTATTCTTCAACAATTCTCCACCAATCAGGGAATTGAAGCAAGCAAATTTAACCAAAAGAGCACTTCAGTGCCCGCACACTCCCACAAATCACGTAATAGAGTCAGTTTCCCTATGCCCTCAAACTAGTTGAATATTTGTAATAATTGTAAAATATACTATTTCTATGTGTATGAATGAATTTACAGGCCTATAAATGTATCCATTCATCCATCATTTTCATGGTGTCATTCACAGTGCTTATTGGGATTGTAGTTCTTTACCTCATTAAACCTAATTTTGTCTTTTTGTTCAATTTTAAGAAATTTTTTTGCTTCAAATCAAAGTTTATAATGTTGTGATTCACCTCGTAGTTGGTTGATTCGTTTCATGGCTTATAACTCTTTAACAAAGACATTTTTAAAATCTCTATGGGAAAAAATAATAGAAAAGATACTTCCAGAACCAGCACTGCTGAGAAGGTGGGAGGAACACTGTTGCATTGTATTGAACCCAGAACATTTCTTTAATCATTTAATTTGCTTCTGGTGGCTGTTCCCTATGTGTCTTTTTTTTGTCCATTTTGTTTTTCATTAAATCTCTGTCTAACACACTCACTTTTGTTGTGCTGTCATTCTGCTTATTATATGTATTATACATAAAATAGCAGAAGCTGAGAGATACTCCACGTCTACTCCTTTCAGAGCAGTGGTGTGTGTAATGAAGTGTGTTGTCCATCTGTGTGTGTGATCAGGAAGAGGAGAGTTTGCTCGTGAGCAGAGGTTCTCATGCCTGTCCGTGTGTGGAGGACATCCAGGGAAGCTCCCTCCTACCTGTCAATGTCGAGAGGAAGATCACTCTGCTGGGACGCAACTTACACCTCTATCAGGTAACGCAGCGTCTTGAGGCTTGTTGGGGATTGATAGTCTGGCACAGTCAGACTGTGACTATGAGCATAATGTCTGGTAATGCTGACTTAGACAGCAAGGGTCTGTCTGACTGACATGCACAACAACCAGCTGCGGTTTCTTTACGGGACATTTAGGGGGGAGTAAATCTGAAACCAATCATCTCTCATTAATTGACTGATGTGCAACGATGTGGAAACTGCACAGCATTCTCAGAGAAAAATACTGAAGTCTTGAGGATTATGAAAAATATAAACTGAATAGGTTTGAATGTTTATGTGAATAGTTCTTCTCAGAAGTGCTCATTTTGGCAGTTTTAAACATTTTAAAATCAGAAATACAGTAAAAAATTTATTTTGTGAAATATTATTACAGTTTAAAAAGACTTTTTTCTATTTGAATATATTTAATAAAATTTCATTTTTTACTGTGATGTAAAGCTAAATTTTCAGCATCATTACTCCAGTCTTCAGTGTCACATGATCCTTCAGAAATCAGTATAATATGCTGATGTGCTGCTCAAAAAGTATTTTTTATTATTATCAATGTTGAAAATAATTTTGCTGCTTATTATTTTTGTAGAAACTGTGATACATTTTTTTAGGAATCTTTGATGAATAGAAAGTTCAGAAGAATAGCATTAATTGGGTGTATTATGTTATCTGATTTATTTAGGAAATACTTAAAAAAATATGTAGGCCGTAAAAAGAATATATCTGTGTGTGGTTTAAGGACAAAGATCTGGATTACCAGTGTGTGTTGGTGATTGAGGGCCGATCGGTGGTGGTGGACGCTTTTGTGGAAGTGGACGACACTCAGCCATCTCTGTTCTTTATTACCTGTCAGCTACACCAGGTCTGCTAGCAAAAAAAAACAGTAAAAATTCGGCACATTGTATTAATTTGAAGGAATTTTCCATATTGATTTGTTTTACAGGTGTTTTGACTGTATTTTGATTTTTAGCACTTCATTGCGTTGTGTTTCAGAGTTAATGGAAATGCCAGAAAAAATTACTGCACAATGTTACCAGAAAATTACCAGTGCTTTTTTTTTTACAATGTATATAAAAAAAGCATCCTGTGACATCCTGTGACAGTTATATTATTGTTTTAAAAGTTACTATTTTTTGGAGTAAACAGTTCCTTTTATATTCTGAAAGCTTATATTGTTTTTATTAATTTTTTTTTTTTGCTTATTTTAGTACATCAAGTTATAATAAATGAAAACGTGAAATGTTGCCTTAGCAACTAACTGAAATAAAATAAGTTTACTTTTATTATATTTAACGATAATGTAATTTAACAGTAATTTTGTTGCTAGCACAGCTCTATGTGGCGGTATTATATATCATCCATAAAAACTGCTTGTGGCCTACATATAAATAACTGTTACACTCTGAAAGTGCCTGTAATGCTTTGTTATAGTATTTAAAATGATTGTGATTGCATTTCGGTTTCAAAGTACTCTTACTTGGCTGCCGTGGAGGAATACAGGAGCATGATCTCAGTCAGGAGGAGGGACTCTTTCCAGATGGATTACCCAGAAGACCTGCATGGTATGTTACCCACTGTTTGCCGAGGCTTTGCACGTGCTGTACTCTGTTTGTGTCACGTGTGTTTTGTCTTGCAGTTCGGCTGTATAACTGCTCCGTGGGCCGGGCCGACTGCAGTCGCTGTCACACGGCCGATCAGCAGTACGAGTGTGTGTGGTGTGAAGGGTCTCGCTCCAGCTGCGTCTACAGGAGCTCCTGCACCGAACACGTCCAGCAGACCTGTCCTGCTCCTCACATACACACGGTGAGGGACTCATCTGTTAACTTGTGCTTTTTGTGAGCCATTAATATTATACTTAATGTTGTTAAAGTGGCAGTTCACCCAAAAATGAAAATTCTGTCATAAACTCCTTGACCTCATTCTGTATTCTGTATTAAAGAAGATCTTCAGTTGCTTATTTTTGTGTGAACTGTCCTTTTAAGAACTTGGAATAAACCTGCCAGGCTAAACTGCATTGTAAAAGGATTTTTCTTCACTGTCTGATATGAACATTATTGTCCTGGAAGGAGTGACCCTTGTCTTTTTAAATGTAGGAATGCTGTGGTTTCCGTTGCTGGCCTTTCCTTACTGACCCGTGTGTTTGTACAATAGCATAACAGATCATATTATTACACCTGACATGATTAACTGAATCACTTCATAGATGTTTGCATGCAGGACCTCAAGCTTTTCACTGAAGAAAATATGTGTAATATTGCTAGGGTGTTATGGTCGGTCGCCATGCCATTGCAATAAGGCTAAGGTGTTCTGGGTGGTTGCTAGGTGGAAATTTAAATGAAATTAAGTAGTTTTATTGAAAGTAAATAATACTTTTATTTACCAAGGAGGCATTAAATTGATCAAAGGTAACATTAATGACATTTATAATTTAACAAGATTTCTATTTCAAATAAATGCTGTTAAATTCCTTTAAACTTTCTGTTCATCAAAGCAATAAAGACAGGATAAAATGGGTGAGCAAGATGGAATGAAATGCAAGGAATTTTACACTGAAAAAGCAACTTTTTATATTGCAAAAATTAATTTTCTTAAAGGGGTCATAGGATGCTACATGCACTTTTAGTTTCATTTAGACCCTAAAGAATCATATCAACTTGTGGAAAATGGGCATCCTATGACCCCTTTAAAACAAAAAAAATGTGAAAGTTATTATTATAGATTTTAATATTTAATTTTAAAAGGTCATTTCAAGCTAGAAAAAAAACATTTGCCATTAGATTTTAAAAAAAAGTAAATAACCATGTGTAAGTCTCATACAATTCAAATAATATAAATGTATATTGTTTTAAATGTAAAGGATATTTAGATTATTTTTTTTACTGGAAAACAAGACAAAATTATTATTTTTAATTAGTATTTTTATAGGATGAGATCAATGGTATATAACACCACACAAACTAAAAGGAAAAAAAAGGAAATGATGGAAATACAGTGAGATTTGTGACTTTTTTCAGTAAAGATTTCGATTCCAAATAAATGCTGTTCTTTTAAACTTTCTGTTCATCAAAGAATCGTGAGAAAAACTATCACGGTTTCCACAAAAACATTAAGCAGCACAACTGTTTTTAACATTGATAATAATCTGAAATGATTCTTGAGAAGCAAATCAGCATATTATACTGATTTCTGAAGGATCATGTGACACTGAAGACTGGAGTAATGATGCTGAAAATTCAGCTTTGCATCACAGGAATAAATTACATTTTAAACTATATTCACATAGAAAACAGCGGTTTTAAATTTTAATAATATTTCACAAGGTTACTGTTTTCCTGCATTTTAATCAAATAAATGTAGCCTTGGTTTTGAACAATAGTTTAGTGTTTCAGGACTCTATACAAATATATGGGATTGTCATCACTGAGTAGCTTCATGACTGATTTTGTGTTTTCTTGCAGATTGAGCCTCTTTCTGGTCCAGTGGACGGCGGCACAGTGCTCACAGTGTCTGGCTCTAATCTGGGTCAGAGAGCTGAAGACATCCAGCACTCGGTGACTGTAGCCGGAGTCCCCTGCATGGTCATCCCTGACAGATACGAGGTGTCCTCCAGGTAAATCAGACAGCACTCTGTCGGACTATAAAGTATGTGAGTAAGGGCATGCTGGATATTGCTGCCACTCGTTAATGACACTGTATTATTGGCTTCAGGCAATTCAGCTCCACAGTGTGATGAAGAGTATTGACCCAGTGCACTGATTAATGGGAGGTCTCTTTGTGTGCCTGTTAGTATTGTTTGTGAGACCACAGCGAGTGCAGGGGAGCAGAGCGGCCACATCTCGGTGCAGGTTAAAGGCGGAGGAATCGGGCAATCTGCCCAGCGCTTCCGTTACCAGGTAACCATTAATCCAACAAGCCACAAAAGGGATAAATATGGTTTAGCCAGAATGAATAACATGCAAGGAATACATTCTGTATTAATTAAAAGGCAGGGAGGTATTTGGCCATTTTAAAACAACTTTGTACACTGCAGAATGAATTTTCTTCAACAGTGTTTTTGTATTGTCATACTTAAAACTTTATTATTGTTATTTTTATTAAAATTGTGAAAGGTATTAAGCTTTGTTTTCCGAGTATATATTTTAACGTTTATTTTTATTTTAAAATACATTTTTAAGAAACGAAATATAGTGGGATTAATGCTTCAAATTTTGCAATATTGTGGAAAAAAAAAGTTATGAAAATATTTGTTAAAAATACGTGTCTTATACAATTCAATAATGTAAATGTATATTGTTTTTAAAAGGATTTTTAGTTTTTACTGGAAAATAAGAAATTTAAGAGGATGAGGAAATATAGTGAGATTTATGCTTCAAAAAAGTTTAAAAAGTGAGTGAAAATGTAAAAAAAAATATATATTAAATATTTTTTAAATGTTTAAGTCTTAAACAATTCAATAAAGTAAGTGTATTTTATTGTAGATATTTTTTACTGGAAAACAAGACCAAAATATAATGTCTTTTTCAGGGCTTTAATACCACACAAATTAAAGGAAAAAATGGAATTGAAAAATGAAATATAGTGAGATTTAAAAGCAATTTGCTAATAAAGTGAATTTTTAAAAATGTTATTAAAATTTTTTTAAGAATGTGTAAATCTTATACAAGTTAATGAAGTAAATGTATCTTATTTAAATGATTTTTAGATATTTGTACTTAAAAACACAACCAAAATATTATGCGTTATTCAGGGGCTTTAATAAGATTTTTAATAATGTGTAGGAGTGTATAGACTAATAGGATAATAATACCACACAATGTAAAGGAAAAAAAGGAAGAAACAAAAGATAATATGAGCTTTTATGGTTAAAACAAGATTTAAAAAAAAAATGGTAACACTTTACTTAAAGCCTTTATGTATAATGCATTCTAAAAGTAGTTTTAATGCATTAATTATGCCTTGTAATGCACCTTATAATGCATTGTACAGTCTTATACATAATTG